GGCACCAGTTTGATGATGCTTAATAAGGAGAGAGCTGTTACTGAAACTTTTCCCAAGTTCAGTGCCTGTATTCAGTCTCTCTCCCATGCAGTCTCTATGCTGTGTGCTGGTGTCTTCAGAGTTTGTGAAGCCTGTTTTGCTTGAAGTGGATTTACTTTGTCTCCAGTCTGGGGGATCAGTGTGCTCTTGTTTCACCTTGCCTGTATTTTCACTAGCATCTCCCCACTCAGGGTACTGGCGTCTCCCTGACACCACCATGTCTGGCTTTGCCCTTGCACATCCTTTATTCTGGGGTATCTCATCTCTGTTCCCATTAACGATCCCATCTCTGAACAATATGTGAGCCTCTTTTGAGTGGGTTCTTTGATGCTGAATAAGTCTCTCTCTCAGGATAAAGAGCTGGCCGCACACTTGACACTTACGGGGCATCCCCAACTTGTGCACTGTGTAACGGTGTAGAACGAGGCTTGTCTTGTGTCTGAAGCTTTTCCTGCATTCACTACATTTATAGAGTCTCTCCGCTCTATGAATTTTCAGATGTATCTGAAGGTATTCTTGTCGAGAGAAGCTTTTGCCACACTCACTACACCTGACAGCATGCTTTTTGGCACTGATTAGTTGACAGTTTTGAATAAGGAGCGAGCTGTTACTGAAACCTTCCCCCTGTTCATTGACAGTATTTGGTGTCTTCCCCACAATGGTTACTTGGGAGCTGATGTCTTTGGATTTCCTCAAACCTCTTTTCCTGTGAATGGATGAACTCCTGCCTGGAAGGTTTCCCCTCTGTTGTCCCTCCCTGCCGTGGCTCTTGCTGGCATCTGCCCTGTCAGAGTAGGGTGGTCTTCCTAAGAACAGCCTGTGCAGATTCACTCCCACAGCCCCTTCCTGCTGGCAACTTTCCTCCTTGATTACACTTGCTGTCCAAGTACCTGTTGGGAGAGAAAGTCCAGATGGGATCAACTCCCCCTGTGCTGGGGATGGAGGGGCCAGAAGGGGATTTATCATTGATATCAGAACCTGCTATGCAGGTAGTGAATTCTACCTAATGAAGGAGGAGGGGCCAGTTCTGCCTCAAAATTCCATCTCAGGCCTAAGAAAAGGGCTGAGAGAGGAAAAGGCTTTTGTCAGGGATCAAGAACAATGATTGAGAACCAGGAGTGACTCCTGCCCACCATGAGGACTGGGCACAATAGTGGGTCAGATGAGATGAGACAGAATACAGAGAGGACTCAGTTGGTTTACTGGGAGCCCAGCTTATCCCAGTCGCTGATAGTTTCTCAGTTGGTGTCACTCATTCCTCACCAGTGCTTATGTCTCTCAGGATTTCCCTTTCCTCAGAACGCTGGAGATCTGGGATCCATGGCTCTTCTCCTTGTTCCATTCGGGATAGCACCTCTGGTTTCGGGACTGGAAATCCTGCCAGTTGGAAAGAGGTACATGCATCGCAACATGGTAAGTGATTGTCAAACACATAACTACAAAGAAAAGTCCATGATTTTTTTTGCTGAAGAGGAAAAACACAATCCATACAGGCTATAAAAGATTTGTGCATCACATTTTGGCAAGCAGGCTGTATGTTGGGAACTGAGCTGTGTTCCTTATAGGAAGAATACAGATTTACCCAGCATTGCTGGTATCCTTAACACAGTTAATTTTAGGGTTTTTTTTAGAAAATAAATGGAAAATGTACATGCTTTATTCAATTACTGCATATTTCAAAAATATAGTGTTATTTTCATTACATTAATTTTTATATTGGATTTCTTCAAAAAGAGATTGTTAAAATGTGTTTATTTTTTTTAGTAAAAGTTCTTGAATGGGAATTCCATGAAGTGTATTTTTTCCCTTAATCTCAATCACCTCTTATCATTCGTTATATTTTAACCAAAAAGGACTATAGTCAATTTGTTTTCCAATAGCATTGTCTTCTAGTTTTCACACCACAAGCATTGATTTAACAGTGCCAAAACAGAGAACTACCCCAAATTTCTCCATTTTAACTCTTTTCTGTAAAGTTTATTGAGAAGCAATCCTAATCCAGGATCATCCATCTTTTTGGCTCATCTCAGTTCAGCCTTTTTCAACAGTAACTCAGTTATGTCAGTTTAACTGACTGTTATGTCAGTTTCATTCTTTGGTATTATGAGAAGCAATGGCATTCTAAGCACATCCCATTTTCCTGGCACCACCAACCCCTTGCTTTACTTTCAGTCATGATAAGAGGAAGCTGCATACCACCTCTTACCATTTAGGAGGAGTTCTTCAGCAAACAGACAGACACACTCACAGACAGACAAATTGATGGAGACTTTAACAGCTGCTCACCTAATGAGAGGAGAGTCTCATAGTTCTCCTGCATGACATCCCTGTAGAGTTGCCTCTGCTTTTCATCCAAAATAGCCCACTCCGCTACAGAGAAGTACACAGCCACCTCTTCAAACGTCACCGGCATCTGAAATGACAGGTGTCTGCACTCAGCCCCTGCCTGCTCTGGCCACAAGCCCACCACTCGGGCACAAGGAGCAGCAAAGGGCAGTGCCATCACTGTGGGTGCAGCATTGGAGGAGGAGAAAGAATCCATTCCCCACTATCCCAACCTCCTCCACCCAGCAGGGGATGCCACACTCAGCCTGCCCCCAAAGCTCCCATCCCTACAGAGCGCCTAGCCCCAACCCAGGCCACTGACGCAGGCACCTGCTGCCGTAAGGGAGCCCCTCTGGGCACAGGATAACATGCTGTTCCCACAGTAGTCTCACCCGTCGGTCATGGGATGAACGGCCAGAGGCATAGCCAACTGGAGTGGCATGCAGTGAGCTATGCAGGGGTGGGAGGAGTTCCACATGCACAAGGCCCCTCCCAAAGAAAGGGGCGTGATAAGGGGAAAGAAGCAAAGCTGGAAAGACCATTGAGCAATGGAGGAGCCGGGAGGCAGCCGGAGGAATGAGCGAGGATAGATGAGGAAGCAGCACAGTGTGACAGGAGGAGCAGCACAGACTGTTTCACACTCACCATAAAGCCGAACCTACGGAGCGAGGCCACCATTTCCTGGTCTCCTTCATTCCCCTTATCATAAATAACACACAGGTGAGGTACAGGAAGATCTAAAGGATGATAAAGGTGCCATTAGAGGGACTCTCAAAAACACATGCATTCCTAGATCTCACATATCTACTAGGAAGAGGGAACATCCTTCAACACACCACTAGACAACCAAATGCTGTTCTGATGGTTTGATACAGGCTGCCCCGGGGACACCCTTTCCTGCTGTGCTATCCACACTCCCTTGCACCTCATGCATCCCCAAACACAACTTCTTACCTAGTTTCCGTGGATAGTGCCAATTCTCCCTGAAGTCACAGCTCTGCTCTTGTCCTAAGTAGAGGAATCTCTGTGACCTTGCACTGGAGGGGGGCTCCGTCATCTTAGAGACTCTTCTCTTCTGATCACACAAACTGAGACCTGGAAAATATACATGTTGACAGCTCAGAATGGGGGACAATGGTATTAATGTAGAGGCCAGTGCCAAGTGGCTCTCAGATTCTCTATTTTACTGCTATTGAAAGCTGATGGGCCTTTCACATACATGAAATGGGCTCTGTGTCCCCCGATTTCCAACTTCCAGTTTTACCAATATCAGCTGAGTTCTTCCCACTAATGACTGAAAGAGATCCCTCCGTTTTGTATTTCTGGGTTGTAACCTTCTGCCCACACCAAGCCTTCTTCCTTCCTGAGTTGATTTGTACTTTCCAGTGACTCCTTTCTGCACTTATGTGATATTGCGTCATTTGTGCCTTTGATTTGATTGGATATAGTAGCTAGGAATAGCAGAGCACATTTACACTCCTGGTCCTTAGCTCTTTTTAAGCTTTTTAAGTAACATTATAATGATTTATTTGCATTACCCTGGAGCTCAGAAGTTCCAGACGCAAGCCAAGATCCCAGTCTATTAGGTGCTTACAAAGACAGGAAAAAAATAACATTTGGTTCCCCAAACACCTTCCCATGTAATTCAATCCTTCTACGTTTGAGCACTATTTTATTTAATGAAAATCTTTTTGTTTGAACCTTGACCAAATCCAGATTTAACTGTCCCTCTCTCAAGACCCTTTTTAGACTCCAAAAAGCTCTATACCTGGCCTTTACATTTTCCAGGGCACTTGCCTTTTTTTTTTTTTTTTTTTATTTTGGTAGTGAGAGAGAAGTTCTAATTTAATGTTCTGATAAGGGCTCCAATCACCATCCTATCGGAATCCACTGGGCTCTGGGTCAGGAACAGCCTCGTCATAGGAAGATGCTGAATTCTGGAGTAACATTAAAATACCCAGAAAACCACCTGTTCCATGTTCCTTATTAAACAAGAAAGCCAGTCTAGTCTGCACAGGTTACTTATCTCTAGTTTCATGGCTCAAGGTATATTTGTCACATTCAGATCAAAAAATGTGTGGCTCTCAGAACTGAAGGCATGCTATATTTTACATTCCAGAATGACTGCACACAAAGGTGCCTGTTTGCTAAGCCATCTCTTACTTGGTGGGTAATAAGTTCCTGACCATGCGAACCAAGGTCTAGAGTAAATCTTTACAAATTCCCTGGTGCTTTTGTCTTAAAACACTGGTCATTGGGCAGCAAGCTTTAATTTCCTAGTTCAGCTAAGGAGAAATGTAGATGACAATTGACTCATTGAGCACCAATACTGTCTGTTCCTCTTGTTTCCACAGTCTCCCAGGGACTGTCAGGAAAGTAACACTGAGACTATGCAGTTTTTCAGCCCTGACTGACATACTGATGCTGGAATAAGTTTTAAAAGGAGATCAGGTAGTACTTCCTCTTTGTGCTCTTAACTCTTAGCTGCACACCTAGAAGTTCAGCTGGGGCTCTTGCTTCTTCTGTTTTTTGTCTGAAAAGTTTTTACATTAAACTAAATTTGACAGAAGCAATACTTAGAGGGATAGTTCCAATAAATAACCAAGACATTGAAATAAAAAAAAAACTTGCTGAATTTAATTAATACTCCAGTTGTAGGGAGGGTAGACTGATTTTATAGTCACAACTGGAATCACAGGTTTATACATACTGAAGTTAAAATTACCTAAATACAATATAGGAGGTGTTAATTTCTTTCTTGCGGCTCACAGAATCATAGTTATGTGTGTGCATGCTCCTCCTCTTGAGGTGTTTTAGCAAGTTTTATGCCCCTCTTTTGGGTCTTGTATTTTACATTATTATATTTTACAATAAATATGCCTCAAATATTTTAAATAGCGAGACCGAGTTAAAAAAATTAAAATAAAAAAGTAAAGGTGGAAAGGGACTTCAGAGGGTCTTCCAGTGCAGTCCCCTGGGCTGACGCAGGACCAAGTGAATCTCAAAAAAATCTCTTCCCCTTTTTTTCCTCCTCCTCATTTAAAGCTGCACCTTTACATAAACCCTGAAACTATCAAACATGAGTCATTAAATTTGCTAATTTGTAGAATTTTAGCCTTTGCAAGGTTTTAGCACTATAGATTTCCTCCTTTTAAAAAGTAGTCAGCTTACATTCTTCAGAAACGCTGTTGCATCCATGAGCCATTTGCAACACTCATAAGTAGTAAAATACACAGGCATTTTAGTCTATTATAGACTTTACCTGCCAACATTACATTTCACAGCCACTGAAGCAATTCAGCCCATCACAGAGATAGCTAATCCAAACCACTAGAACTGGGCTGTTTAACATACACGAAAACAGCCACCCACATACTTTGTGTTGTTTTTCCAGTCTCAATAACTTGGGGGCTGCCATCACCCTTTCCACTGATTGGAACCACAATTTACAGTTAGTGTCATAGTAGCGATGAATTAAGCCAGCATTCAGTTAAAAAAGAGTTGTTCATGATGCTCTGTGAGCAGAAGTTTTCTTTAAAAGCTTAATCTTTAACAATTTAAAAACACTTTATTTTACCACTTTTGCATTTTGTTTAAAAATGCCTTTACATTAAGTTATTCCCAGTTACAGAAACTACAAACCTTAATATACACAAAAGAAAAAGAGAAACAAACCATTAGTACAAAAAGTTTAAACTAGTGATAAACAAATAGATTTGTCCTTTTCATATTTGTTCATTTTTTTAAATTGTATCCTTTGGTATATATGGTTGTGACTACTTTCTTCCACTATTTGATCTGAGGAAGTGGGTCTGGCCCACGAAAGCTCATCATCTAATAAACCATCTTGTTAGTCTTTAAAGTGCTACATTGTCCTGCATTTTGCTTCTAAAACCCTCTGATTTTCAAACCGGAACATTAGCATATTACTTAACAGGCTTAGCCTAAACAAAGAAGCTTACTACTTTTGTAGCGAAAAACAAACTTTTGGCTGGATGGAAAAAATTCCCTCATTATAGGTGACTGGAAGATTTTATACAATTTTTCCCACAGTCCTGAACTGCCCTCTATTATTACAACAGGCGGACTTGTAATGTAATATTTATTACCACAGTCCCCCAGAGGCTTCCTCGTGGACCACAGCCCCATTCTGCTAGGCACAGCAGTGTGAAATTCCAGTTTGGATGGAAATATCACCACACTGAATGGTGACAACAAGGAAATTAGCACTTACAGTTTTCTTTCTCCAGCCATGGACTCTGTCAGTTCCTCTTGCAGTTGCTGAGTTTCTTAGCTGATGGAGTTTGTTCCTGGGGTTTTCTAGAGACTGGAGAACAGAGATTCTATCTGGGTAAAATACTTCTGTCACTCACAAAACACTTTCTGTACAAGGGATCCATGGCTTTTCAAATATAAATGCTCCTCAACAAATTGTTCCAAAGAAATTATTTCTTCAAAGCCTTTCACAGAGAACTCGGAGCTTAGAGCAAACTCCCCTGCTCTGTGCCTGCAACTGCAGGAAAGAACTTCCTACTTCACTCACATCAGAGCCCTCAGCTACTCCCCTCTTTTCAGCAGAAAATGATCATCGCATGAGGAGAGTTCTTCAGAGCTCTTCTCCATTCTCATTCAAAGTATACAGTTGGCTAGTGTGGAAAAGGGCATACAGCAAAGTTTGCCACTCTGGGTTTCTTTGTTACAACAGGAACAAATTGGAGTAAGGAACGTATCTTGTTTTCTCCCTCATTCAATGAAAAGCTCCGAGTGAGTTCTCCTTTTTAGAAATAATCAGTGATAAAGGGAGTGGGGGCGAGATTATGACTTTCCATCTTTCCGTATTCAAAATATGCAGTTGGCTGCTGTGGAAAAGGGATAATCTTTTTTTGTGCATGTCGATTAAAGATTTGCCTTATCATAGAATCATAGAATACTAGGACTGGAAGTGTAGTAAAAACTAAGTGTGCTTCTTCCCCTCAACGCTTAAGCTCGAAACAGCATGTCTCATTTAGCTGATTGTGCATTCCTCAGAAGCTGCTAATCTTTCTGCTAGCTCTTTCCATATAAGGGAACTAAGTAAACTCACAGTAACCAATCACATTGCAACACATTGGCCAGAAGGAATGTGGAATCCACAAAAGTTTCAGCTCAGGCGTTGCCCCGGGTCGACTTTGCTTTGAGCACAGAGCTCCTCTGTCAACCTTGTTTGCAAACAATAAAATGGAGTTAGACCCAGCCTGAAAGTGTGACTCTTCTTGAGGCAAATTGGACTAGCCTCCAGGGGACGAAACTAGCATTTTATGCAACAGAAGGGACCTCAAGAAGTCATTGAGTCCAGTCCCCTGCCCTCATGGCAGGACTCAGTACTGTCTAGATGAGTGGTCTCCAACCTTTTTACACCCAAGATCACTCTTTAAATCTCAGAACAGGTGAAGATCTACAGCCCCGCCCTCTCTATTCTCCTCCTGTCCATCACTTGCTATCCCCAGCCCTTACTTACACACTCTGATAAACAGTTTATTTTTAAATTAGGCAATATATAAAATTAAAATCACGTGTTTATAGTTATGAAATAAATGGCCTGTTTTTTATTCATGCTATTTAAATCTAAATGAAGCATTTATAATTATACATTTTGAGGGGACAGAGTCCTGTGGCTCGGGACAGGGGAGTGGGGACAGGGGGCGGGGTGCCAGTGGCAGCAGAGAGTCCCCTGCATCTGCCTCCTCCCAGGATTCTTCCCTCCCCCCGAGGGAAG